CGCTGACATCCGTATGTTTCATTCAGCAACCAATACTCGGACTTTCGAACCCGTTCTCAAGAGCCGCGCTCTTACTTGCGCCAGATCCGAATCTCCGCAGGTAGTCTGAATTGATATCTATAATATCAGAAGATGGGTAAATCGTGAGTACCATATTTCTCTTTCCGCTCCCGAGACTTTCCAGCGCAACTTGCACAACATGAATACCGCCAAAAGCCACGAGGCCAATGCACCGATCTCATCAGTGTGCACCGCATTTCCGGAAGTCGTTACAAAGTCCGAGTCTTATCGTTCGATAAATATACAAGATCAGTGGCTTCAAGGTCCAGCATAAAGCGATTCGGCTAGATGTACGATAGACGAGGAGAATATCAATCATTGTGACGTCGGGCTATGCGCAAATGGCTGGATTACTTCCATCTACTTAATCAAGGAACATGCGGGATATTCATATAATCTAGTTTGCGCACTGGCAGATGGACTGACTGACTTGTCAAATCTAGTCAATCGAAGCTCTCGGCGGAGCAAATCACCGAACTCCAGAAATCTACTCACTTCGATAAGAAGGAATTGCAACAATGGTATAAAGGTGTGCAAAAAACGTAGTCGGTCTCATTGAATGACCACCTAATAATGTGGTCTTTCTAGGTTTCTTGAAGGACTGCCCATCTGGGATGCTCACTAAGGAGGAATTCCAAAAGATCTACCGACAATTCTTTCCATTCGGAGACCCATCGTCCTTTGCGGACTACGTGTTCAATGTCTTCGATAGCGACAAGTCAGGTTCGATTGATTTCAAAGAGTTTATTTGCGCCCTCAGTGTGACCAGTCGAGGAAAGATGGAGGACAAATTAGACTGGGCATTCCAGCTTTATGATATCGATGGAGATGGAAAGATCAGTTATGAAGAGATGTTAGCAATTGTAGAGGCAATTTACAAGATGGTGAGTACCTCTCAACTCCTACCCTTATGGTCACGTGGACACCCCAGAGGTCTTTATTTGCATTGGACATGTAGTAGTGGTATTTTGCAAGATTTGTCGAGTACGGTGCTCTGGCAATCAAGCCCTTCATCAGCTGGACTTTAATCCATTACCTAGCCGTTTGGATGATTTCCTCGTTTTCATAGGAGCTCATTTCGAGTATCTCTGTCTCTTACATTACTTTGGAATGTGCAAGTACTGATTAGCACATCTGTAGGTTGGCTCAATGGTCAAACTTCCACCTGATGAGGATACCCCTGAAAAGCGGGTCAAGAAGATCTTCCGTATGATGGACAAGGATGAGAATGGCAGTCTAGACATGGAAGAATTCAAAGAAGGGAGTAAGCGTGATGAGACGATTGTATCTGCACTTTCGCTCTACGATGGTCTTGTCTAATGGATGTTCATGGTTGAATCTCTTTTCGGTGCTGAAGGTGCAAAGTGGTGTCGAGAATTTAGATATTTGAAAGAAGTTTGGGCGGTCTTCTGGATCTCCCCCTCTTCTTTCTACTTTGGATCGTTTGTACCTTCATCATCATTCGCCAATCATTTGGGCGGCTCATGTTTTTGGAAGGGAATGTTTGTTGGTAGTTTAAGCGTTGCGTATGGTACCGGGAAGTTATCTCCTGGATTGGATCCCTAGGATGGATCAATTGATTAACCACATATACTAGTATAGAAATAAAACCCCTGATGTACCCATTTCCGATAGAATGCTTTGTGACGTACGTGGATTTGGTATTGGATAGCTCTTTTCCCTCCTACGTGATGCGACGAGAAGACACTGGTTACGGTGGTTACGGCTGGCTCTGTTTGGAAGCACAAATGTTCAAGAGGTAACAAAGCCCATATTTGACGTACTCGAAGACGAGTCTTTAAGCTGAGGGCTTAGTTTGTCAGTTCGCTCGGCCTTGTTTGAGGAGTTCTGTTTGGTAAATATGGCGGTACGCTTCAAATTTCGAAGCTTCGCGTCGGCTAGAATTCACGACCAACACGAGACGCGCCGTAGTGGAAAAATTCACTTCACCTTCTCGTCTAAAGGTCACTTACTGATATGGCTTTCTACATTCGGTATCGGATAGCCTCGCGATAACTGACTTGCTTGATTTTTATATTTTCCTCGCAGTACAGAAATCCAAACTCTCCATTGATCAACTACACACACAAAAGCGCACCATCAACAAATTCACAAATAGCTTCATCAACATCCATCAATTGAATAATAAATAACACCATTGTTCATCTCAAATAAACGAACACATAGTCTCTATCAACAATGTCGCTATCGAAATCCTCCACACCCGTTCAACGATGTCCACCAAATTGCAGAGGCTGTGCGACGTTCGCAGCTTTCGGCGGCGGATACTTTCCTCCTCAAACATCCGACGGACCATTGTACCAATGCTATGAATATGCTTTGGCGCTAGGTATTATAGAAGAACCTCCTTCGAGCATGATTGAGACTGAGGATTTGGTACCTGCTCCATTGGCCATACCTGCTAAGTCGGCGAAACGTCCCAAAGGCAAGCCGATTGCTCCTTCTGCTTTTACTTCTCCTCCTCCTCCTTTATTCCCTTGTCATGTGGAAGTGAGCAAGGAAACAAGAAGGAAAATGGAGGCAATAGCAGCCGGGCCATATACATTCGAAGAGAAAGTGGAGCTGATGACTTTTGAAGCAACTACAGATCCACAGTCAGCTGCGTATATGGTGGACTATGCACGAACACACCAGAATGTTTTCTCTGCAGGATTTAAAATGTCGCAAGTTGATCAAGACGCTATGTTTTCCCTACCTACATCCTGTGCAGGTATCTATGAAGAGAAAAATGCGACTTATCCTCTTGGTCATAGTTATCTACCGCCTGGTGTGGTTCCGCTTCCTAGTGATCTTTTGTTTACGATCACGACGTGTGGAGAACGATGCGCAACGAGTTTTGTTGGGATGTATGCGATGCGGATGCGAGATGCGTTTCAAGCTTCTGGGGTTGATATGCGGGCTCATGAAGTGAGAGGGGAGTGGGAGAAGACAGGGGCGAAGCGATGGCTGTATAGTTTGGGGATGGACAAGGATAAGGAAAAGGTGAACAAGATTTTGAGGAAGGGGAAAGATGTGGTCATGGCACAGGAGAAGAGAGGGGTTAGTACGTTCAAGTTATTGAGGGAATATGAGAATCTACGCAAGGATATGGAGAATGAGATAGAGAATGCGTTTCGGGACATAGAGAAGGCGGTTGGAGGTTCCCAAGAAGCGGAGTCCGGTCCCGAGTCGTCAGATCCTCACTCACTACCTGACAAGATTGTGCGGAGAGCGGTTCAGAAAGTTGTTAGAGAACACTTCGATCCTATTGATTGGCAAGGTCCGGACCGGGATTGGCTAGGAGCTGATGCTAGCATCTCTGCCCTACCACCACGACAGCGACCATTGCAGAGTTGTGGCATAAACGAACTCGTGAGCGACGACCCACACGACGAATCTGCGTGCACCAGTTTCGTTCAATTGAAGCGTACCAAGCCAATGGATTTTAAGTGGTACCAAAGGAGCAACGAGTTCGAGAAACCGAAATATGAATGGCCTCAGCAAGTGAGATGTATAATGAGCAATGGAGTAATCCGTGAGCGTTCGATGGGGCCATTCTATGGCGAAATAGCTGATAGACTCTCTATGCTAAAGGAGCATGCTGTAAAGCAGAACGTTGCTGCAAATAACTCACTTCACTTTGCGAATTCATCGTGGCAGTTCATGGCGAAGGGAATGAATATCTGTGATTGGTATTGGGACGAAGAAAAGCGCATACTGGTGAAAGGTTACAGCGAACACGATGAATACAAGAAAGATTGCGATCGGATTGACCGAGAGTTGGATAATTGGAAGGCGACTATCAAAGAAGGGATGGAGACTCCAATCAACTCTGATAATCTTTCCCAGAAGGAAATTCGATATGCTACGATTGGCGAGTATTTGTTGCGACAATGGAAAGAAGGACCGGGAATCATGGTTTCCAAAACCCCTAGTGATGAAAAGATGGAGGGATCTCTTCTTGCTCCTCACACTACCGATAACGCTTCGCATATTAACTACCTCAATGCTCGTATTGCTGATGCAACTAGACATCGAGCTGAAATTGAAAGCAAGTGGAATCACGAAACTGCACCTCAAGATGTCTTTCAGGCTAGAAGAGATTTGCTTGCACATATAGATGTTTTGGAGGACTTGAAACTCGAGATCGAAGCGCTCAATCGTCAAGAAGAGACAGGACAGAGCCCCATTTTCAAAGATAAAAAGACGAGAAGAGAGTTGAGTTTGTGGGAGAGGGAACGTTCGGAAGAGATGCGTTTGTGGGAAAGAAAGCCGGGAGGTGAAAAAATTGGACAAAGTTCGGGTGCTAAGACGAGATAATCTGACAAATGGGAGAGGAAGTTAAGTTGGGCGATGAGAGAGATGTGTAGTTACGATTCTGCAAAAATATTAGATTGGACATGGAATCAGGAAAGAGACTTGGGGTATATGAGCAGGACCGCTGATCAGCTGTCAGTTTGGTTTGGGTGTTCCATTATTGAGATTGGTCAAGTATGCAGATGTCCATAAGTGTTGGTAGTAATAGATACTAATGTATTGTGAATATGCTCTTCCTTTTTTGATACTTTTTATGTCTGGCTGATGGAATGACTGTTTACTTAAGAGGACTAGGTATCTAGTATTGACTCAGTCATACCTATGATTACATGTATCGTTGTCTAGAGCACAAATTCTGGTATAACAAAAGAACGTCAATATCTTCTGAGTATGCCTTTCTTCCTCTGATGTTCCTTCTAGTGAAGTGGTTGATCAAATTCAGCAGGCGGTGTGGCATGATCGATCCGAGCCGTTTATGGAAAGGACTTTCGCTTAGGTAAGCTTATAACCTTATTTCTTAGTTCCCATATCATGTGGCACCGTGGACCTCGGAGAAGGATTTCCTCTTAATTAAAACATCCTAAACACAACCAAAAGAGACATCCTTGACAATCCAAAACACAATGAATTGGTTTAAACAAACGTGTGCCTCTCCCTAATTTTGATAAAATCACCTGCTAAAATTCACAGACTCGCAAATGTCGTGGGAACTGAGGAACCAGAGTATGGTTCTGCAGGTATTCGCACGGTAACAGATCAAGCTGAGAAAACTCCCTACACCGAGTTGAAGAAGACCGATTTGAAATGGAAGGCTCAAGAGAGTACAAATGTAGAGACTCAGACCTTCTATATGATCTCAGATGAGGGTAAAGTCGCATCTGTTCAGATGATTTACAACAATGTGGCGTATGTTTTACCCATGCACTAATGAGATGCATCACGCGTCAAGGTAACATTACACTAACGTCGGATGCAGTGGACTTCGAACAACTTGTCAACTGAACGTCAAAGTATTCAATCACAAAGGTCCAAAACAATCTGACCATCTCTGGCTTTCAGATTCACTCGAAAACTATGGCTTCGACGAAGAAATGGTTTCGTTCTACGCCGACGGCCTTTCCATCGCATTGAACGAAGCTGGTGACGAATACACCATCAAAGCCGCTCGTAATGAGTCTGGACTTGTCAACCTTGTACTCAAACGCGCGGCCCCTGGCTTCCAGGTGGGAGAGAATGGAACCACCTATTACGGTACTGATCCCGCCGCACCTTGGGGAGAGATGAGACATAGATTCTGGCCTCGTTGCACCGTCACTGGTACAATCACCACACCCGAGAAGAACTACGACTTCAAAGGACGCGGAATTTTCATTCACGCCATTCAAGGCATGAAGCCTCACCATGCTGCAGCAAAATGGAACTTTGTAACTTTTCAAACACCTACCTACTCCGCTATCATGATGGAGTTTACAACCCCTGCTTCTTACGGCCACACCTCGGTGAATGTTGGAGGCATTGTAAAGGACGGCGAGATCGTATATGCCGGTGCTACCAACACCGTGAAACATACCGAGTCGAAGGAAGACCCAGAAACTATGTGGCCCGAACCTATCTCAGCCGAGTATAAATGGGAAGGCAAGAGCAAATCTGGTGAATTTTCTGCAGTTCTCAGTGGACCGCTCGGGGAAAGGACAGACAGAGTTGATATTCTATCTCACATTCCCAGTTTTATCAAATCGGTTGTTGGAGGAGTTGTGGGAACCAGACCTTTCTGTTACCAGGTAGGCTACCAGACGGTATTCTAATTTATCAATATTAACATCTTTATAGTGGGCTATTCCACCAACCGACTCCCTCGTCCTCAAGATTAAGGATGGCGAGACAGCTGTAGAGGAGCAAGGTACACTCTTTGGTGAATCAACCTTCATCTTGTAGAAGCAATACGAAGCATTCAGATTCCAGAGATACGAATCGCGGCCTCATGATAATATAGAAGTTGGCCAATGCCCAAATTTATAGTTTTGAATATTGCGCATCAACATAACAATCGTTTAACTACCCCTGCTTTCGCACGAGGAGCCGCGAAGAAGGGCTTCTTATGGGTTCTTCTTTGACTTCCTTTCTCTACGGCTCGTTTCTACAGATTGAGAATGGTTTTAATTGGATGATTTTTTTGAAAGGGGTACGATCTTGGAGGGCTGTTATAATTCGTTTTAGCTTAGAATTGCATTACAGCCCCGTTATACCTTCTCTCATCTCATGATGTGATGTGATAGCTTGTGTCCCTTACCAAAACATGGTACGGAATTACAAGCAATTGTGTGTGGATGAAAAAGAGATAAGCGCCGGTTATACTCTTGCATGGCTTTGAGCTAAAAGATTTTTTCAGTACCTGTCTCGTCTTCAAAATGAGTTTTTAGTTCACTGCTCAGTCTGGCACTCGAACGATTCACTTTCAAGTTTCCGTATAGAAAAGTGAGACAATCTGATAGCATTGAATATTCCCATCCATCTCAATTTTGCAGTTTATTCAGCATACAACACTATCAAATATTCTCTTGTAATCCAATCCATGACTCGTCATATTGACCAAGCACAGATCTTCAATTCCCCCAAAGCGCCAATTAGGCACTCACAGCAGCCTCCTTCTTCCTCAACGCCTCCTCCTTATCCCTAATAATCTTCTCCACAGAAGGTCTCTCCATCATCTTCGAATGCCACTTCCAGAAGTGCGGATACTCCTTCTCGATATCCAATTCTCCGGCGCGATCGTTAAAAATCCACGGGATGCCCATGTCCCAGGGAATAAAGGCCAAATCGGCATATGTACACTTATCACCGACTAGCCATTCCTTTCCATTCAGATGTTTATCTAAGACGTACAAGACGCGTAGGCCCAGTGACTATCTTGCTGTCAGTATTCTTTCCAATTTCTTTTTCCTTGAGGCCTTCGACTTACTATGGCCATAAAGAGTGATCGGTTGAGTCATATTGATGAATTGAGTTGATGTTTAGTATCTAATGTATAAATAAGTTATCTTGAATAGAATCCGACAGGAGAAATTGAAGGACGCTTATTCAACCTATATAACAATGTCGTCGTAGTCATTATAATCTTATGTGGAGACTATCCTCTGGGGCCCCTCATCAACTACCGAAAAGCTTTGACGACGGGTAGGGACGAATCTTCCGTAGGTTAGTCCCCGTTGCCAAGAAAAGAAAACCCTCTGTTGAAACTAGGAAAGGTTTTGCAATTCTTTTGTGGATGTCGACGTGGTTGATTACACGATCAAGATTTTGGTTCTATGATTTGCATGTACTCTTACAAATCGATGATGATGATGATTATCAATCTTCAGTACTTTCACCGTAAGCCCATAGGTTTATATGTCATCATTGATTTTCCCGTGGAAATTGCGGATGCATATAGTAGAATCCTTAGAAATCATATGAAACCTCCGCAATAAGTACACGTGTAGGTCTCGAGCAGCGGGGAATGTGTATATAAGACTCTCATGGTTCGTTTTCGGTGCAGAAAACTCGCAATAAATGAAGAGGTAAGCCTAGCTGAGTACTCCATTCTGGAAAGCATGCAGACTTCAGCATACATTGTGGTTCACTATCAATTTATACGTAGCTCCTTTTCACTGATCAAGGCTTTCTGCGAATAATTATAAAAGTCTCGTCGGATTTGTTCGTAGGCAACTAGCCATATTCTTCGGTTTCTTGAAGATATCAAATGATTCACAAGGCACTTACCAAGTATATCAATACCTTCACTCCACACTTGACATTAACATTGCTGTTGATATTTATGTTACGAAGAAGTCAGAATCCTGTAGCTGCAGAAGATTAGCCCGATCACTAGTGGGTGCCGGACTGACATGACAGAACACTATAAAAGCTTATTTAGTAATAAGGTTATCCATTGAACTCTCAATTAGCATATCTTGAAAGTTCTTAAAATAACTTTGTGAAGGTTGAATGATGAGAAAATAAATTATGCTACCAGATAATTGAGGATCAATTTATAACATTTTGGAAGTTAAGAATGGTCCCCTGAATCCATGCACCCACTATGTGCCATCATCCATCCACGATGACTAAGCACGAAAAGCGCCACATCAAACAGAGCCTGGAGAGCTCTCCTTTCATTCGCATACCATCAAGTTGTCTTACAAGTCAGATAAATCAACCCCCTTTTACATTCAATTGTATGATACTCGGGATATGATCATACGACCTCTATCTCATCGACTACTCCTCCCAAAATATCCAATCCGAACCTTTCAATCCCTTACCATGACCTCCCCCGCACCCCCCAAACCCCCCATCCACTTTGGGAAATTTGAAGTAACGGACCAGGCAAGTTTAATACTCAAGCAAAATCTAACCCCAATACATAAATTCCAAACATCTAACCCCCTCCAGATCTTCCACAAATCAACCCACTGTTTCTGTCTCGTAAACATCAAGCCCATCCTCCCCGGCCACGTGCTCATAATCCCCTACCAACCACATCCCCGCATGACGGATCTCTCGAGTGTCGAGCTCGACGATATCTTCTGCACCACGCAGAAAGTACAGAGAATGCTCGCGTCGTATTATTTCCCGGGTCAAGATGTCAAAGAAGGATCGTTTAACATAGCGATTCAAGATGGGCCGGAGAGCGGACAAACGGTGCCGCATTTTCATTGTCATGTTATACCGAGGACGAAGGAGAGCGCCACGATTGGAGATGGGATTTATGAGAAGCTGCAGGGGGAGGAGGGGAATGTGGGAGGGGGACTTTGGGATAGAGAGGCGCGGATGGGGGAGAGACCGGTGCAGAAGGGAAAATTTCCGAGGGTGGATGAGGAGGATAGGGAGCCGAGAAGGTGAGTTTTGAGTTTTTAAATGGTCTTTTTCCTGGCAATATTGTTCTTGGCGACGGATTTGAGTTTTTTTTTGGATTGTGATTTACTGATTCATTTGGATGGTGTAGTAAGGAGGAGATGAATCATGAAGCCGTGCTTTTTAGAGAACAGATGCGAAAGTTGGGGTATAGTGAGGTGGAGCAACATGATCAATAAACCATTCTCAAAATCGTAAGATATCCAGCTAGGTGATTAGATACTGATGATTCCACGGTCATCATATTACAAGATCTGCGATCCCAACGCGTAGATCCTTGTATGAAGAATAAGCAAGACCATATATAGTATCTGTATACACCTTCCCAACTAGTCGGCGGCAAAATTCATCTCCAGCTCTCCTACTAATTATGCTTCTTGTTTCTAGCCCTATTCTAGACCCCGTTCATGTACATAGATCACTAACTCCACCTCATCGTTTCGCCCATCCTCAACCCACCAGCTCGCTACGATAAGTCGCAGCGCTTAACAGACTCCGCTCTTCACAATCAAATTGCCCCTCGTATATAAGTGGGATCCCGTCACGACATTCAACATCTCTCTTCTCTTAAGTTATATCCAACCCAATCCTGGAAACACCCTCAAGAGCAAAAACGATATCTAGAAATCTAGCATGCGTCGTCCAAGTAATTCCGCGAGTGCATTCTCATCGCGGTCATCATGAAGAATACTCCCATCGCTTTCGCTACCTTTTTCACATCTTTGATACACAAAAGTACTCGGAATGGAGTAGCATCCCGATGCCAAGGAAGCGGAGTCAGTCAGCCCTGACTGCGTGCGGGGCTAGCAACAGATGTTAAAGCGCATCCGCTACTTAAGCTTAAATTGGGTTGACTAGACCTTCGTGTATGCTTGGCGTTTCTTTGGCTAGATAAATGCCGTTTTGGTTGACCCTTCTCATGCTGTCTCCCTATGTGAATGTTGAAGGTGTTAAATTCAACTGCAGGTTTTCAGTTCGATTATCAAGTCGATTTGACTACACTGTCGGGCAACACGAGCGTCCATTCATTTTCTTCTGTATCTATCGAACTCAATTACAACCATCCCAAATACCATCATCTCAACCACACCATTATCTTCCCACCCAAACCCAAAGAAAAAAAATGCACATCCCCTCCCTCCCGAGTCCCAACCCCCCTCCTCGCATTACTCACCTCCATCTCCTTACTTCTCCCCCTCACCCTCGCCCTCCCCATCTCTCCCTAACCCCCACCCGCATAATCATAATCACACCCATAACCACCATCAGCATCCACATGCATCCTCCCATTCTCCCCAACCAAATCTACATATACTCTATCAACTTTCCCATGTAGAAATCCTGTCTCCCCTTCTCCCCCCACTTCCACTTCCACTTCCACTTCCACAACCACAACCACAACCAATAAACCAGCAATCTACCCAAAGAAGTCACAAGTGTATATACCTACATAACCATCAAGCTTCTACACGAGGAAACATAATGTATGATGCAAGCTATGGGTAAGAGCACAGGGCTAGAGATAGGGAAGATGAAGTGTGTGGAGAAGGAGGGGGTGGATTGGGTAGAGTTGGTGGTGCGAGGGGAAGGGATCTGGGGACGAGTATCGAGCCAAGCATTGCTTTAGGTTAGGGATGTGTTCCCGCTCTGTTTCTTTGTCTCCATAATAGTGAGAAAGATCCATATACCCGAGAACTTCACATGCAACAAACCCAATAACCCCAACAAACCTCTCAAGCTACTTTTGTCTCCTCTTTTGTCTCCTCCTTTGTCTCTTCTCCTTCCCCCCGCCTCCTCCCTATCGCTTTCCTTCTATCTCTCCCTCTTCACTTCCTGCATGCTGGAACTTTCCAACACAGTATCTCCCTCATCACTCTCCAACCTTAAACATTTCTCCCTCAAGTCACTCCTTAAAGTCACCAGAAAACAAAGCAGAGGTTGATACTTTTGTTAATCCTTTCTTTATTATGCACAGGCGTACACTATGCAATTCTAATCCTACATTGAACGTGGTATCTATCTAGTCTATAAGTCTAGACTAACTTTTATTAAGAACGCCCATCAATGCATCTTTCATATCATATGCAATGCTTTCTCAAAGAATCTACCAATACCAAGTAAAAGAAGAAAACGCCATTCAAATCCCTATTAAACAGGCGACCAACAGCCATCCTCCCTCTACACTACTACCAACCCTCCCTATTATCACCCTTCCATTGTATATCCAATATCTAAATACACCTACTTTAGCGATGAGAAAACATGCCTTGATGAATCCGGATCAAAGTCCTAGGTGAAAACCAGAAACTCATCAAGATCAGTCTCTCAAAACCAAAGTAGGTGTATTTTCGATGTCAAACAAACATTGGAAGGCTGAGTTCGAGCTGGATCGGTTGTGGCGTAGAAAGATTCAAACTGTTGTCCCTCAAAACCCAACAACGCAGTATGGTATTCGTTCGTTCACAAACATAAGTCGTTATCGTAATACAGAAAACAATCCTTTACTCATCCCGTCCCCACGCCCCTCTTGGCCTAGTTGTCGCTGCTCGTTGTGACCTCAGGTCCAGCGAGGACACCAAATTGGCCTCCGCAGCCAGCAAAGGTAATCTTCTTGCCCTTGATGGCAGAGTTTTCGACGAGGGTAGGTGTCCTAGTGGTATCGTCACTACCTAGACCAGTCCTGTAATTCTCGCCATATCCCCATGCCCATACTTTGCCGTCTTCTGTCAAGACAATGTTGTTATCGATTGCACCAGCTACAAAAGTGGCTTTGACACTGGGAACAACGGTTGGCACCTTGAGAACAGCTGGCTTAGATGTGGTAGGGCTAACAATGAGAGTGTCCTGGTCCACGCTAGCAAAATCAAGGCCAGTTTGACCTTCATCGCATCGTCCAACAACCAAGACCTCCTGCTTCTCAGTACAGGCAATTGAGTGATGAAGACATCCTTTAATTTGTTTGATATCAAACCCCTCAAAACTCTTAACAACAGTTGGGTTATTGATGGTGGCACCATCTTCACCAGCATTTGAGCCAATACCGGTCTGGCCGAAATTGTTCAAACCCCATGCGAGAACTTGGCCTTTGGCGTTAATGGCAAAGGAATGATAGGTACCTCCAGCAATCGACTTGCACTTCTTCAAAACTGGTGTTGGAGTAAGGGCAGCGAATTTGAAACGATTGTTGACTCTTCTACCGAGCTGGTTTTGCTCACAAGCTCCCCAGGTGAAAACAGTTCCCTTGTTATCGAGAGCCATGACGTGGTTACCACCACGAGCCAATGACTTGATGTTCTTTAATCCAGGAATGAGTATGGGCTCTATCTGGATCTGGAGCTTCTTCTTGAGATCACCATCGCGTTCTTTGGCCGCCATTGACGCGCCTTCAGCAGTGAAACCGATGATACCATCATTTCCCTGTTATTGTTAGTCGACTTGAATAATTAAGAGCGTGGAAAGATAACTTACAATAAACGAACCCCAACCGTATACATAACCATCTTCAGTGAGCACGAAGCTAGCAGAGTCACTGGCGATTACTTGAACGACCTTTCGTCCATCGAGGAAATCAGTGGAGATAGCCGTTGGGGTACTCTCAACAGGATTTAGAACGACATCATCCTCATTCTCATCCTCAGAATCTGCATCCATGTCTTTGGCCGGTGCTTCATATGAGCTAGTATCACGACCTAACGATCCTCCATCGGACACTCCCCATGTCAAGATTCTTTGATCATCAGTCAACGCGATGCAGTGCATACCGCCGACAGCAACTTGGGTAACGCCTTTGAGAAGGGGATTGTAACGTGGTCGCTTGACATTCATGGGTGGTTTGCCATCCATCTTAGCTGCACCCAAACCCAACTCATTATTTTCTCCAGCTCCGAAAACGTAAACATCAAGTCGCTGGGTAGGCGGAGTGTTGATACTAGGGCCGACCTTGAGCTTCTTTGCAACAGGCAAGGCCTCTGATTCTTGAGTACGACTTCTCTTTCTGCTAACGGCAGGTTTTGGTGCTGTGAATAAATGTCAGACGCGTTCCTGATATTATGTTGATTGAGTCAAGAGAAAACCTTACCTGGTGTTTCATCTTTGTCACTTGTAGCAATCTCAACATCTTCCTCCTCCTCCATCTCAGCATCCTCCTCTGGAGCCGGCTTAGACGCGACCTTTGATTTTTTAGGAGCTGGCTTCTTGACGGGTTTTTTGGGAGCGGGTTTAGCAGCAGAAGCCTTTGCAGCCTTTGCAACCTTTGCAGCGGCAGCTTTGGTAGTGGTAGCCTTCTTAGCTGGCTTCTTAGTTACTTTTGATGGTTTTGGTGCTGTAGTAGCAGATGTGCGAGCGGTAGTGGTTCGTTTTACGCCGACATTGGCAGGAGATGTTGCTGCAGCTGCAGCTTTAGTCTTACGCCCAGCCATTGTTAGACCGAGTATCTTGTATGGATTAGTTGTTTGGTGGTAAGGGTAAAGTGTATTGTAATGTGGAATCTTTGTATCGAAATGCGCAGTTGGAAATGCTCCAAAAGACGCGTTGCAAGATCGAAGAATAAAAAAAGCTCGAGAACTTTCAAGAAGATTTCAAAAGCAAAGGAGGAATCAAAAGAAATCCTTTTGAATATAACTGATTGATTGATCTTGAAAAAGCTTGAATATCAAAGGCAATTGCAATTGAAGAAATTGAGCAAGATGGTAGAAATCTTTAAAATTGAATGGAATTGATGATTGTGTGGGATTTGTGGGTGGAGGTGGGATTGGAGGTGGAGGTGGAGGTGGAATTATTTATTATTATGAGGGATGGAGGATGGAGGGAAGCTCAGGGATTAATCACGCTAGGCAATACTCATTTGGTTAGCGTTAAAATGGGTTCTAACTCAACGCGGCGCAGATGTCATGCTTAGTCATTGCACTCTTGTATTACTGATGTCTACTGTACTACTGATTACTTAATTATCATATAGAAAGTTGGCAGCAGATACTATAGGTACAATCATCCCACTCCTCACTCACCGAGGTAGATAGATAGAAACCCCTCTCATCCTCATATAACTTGTCACCTCTTCCTACCCATTCCAATCCTCCCAATCTCCCAAGTCTCCATCCCATCCATCTCCCTAACCCCCAATCACAGCAAAAACCAGCGAACAAACAATCTAGACAACGTTCCTCCCTACCTCCCTATTCATCAATCCGCAAATCTCACTAATAATGCAAAATCACCCGTCGAGGCACAAAAACACACACACACACACTCTCTCTCTCTTCTCCCCTCTCCCCCTAGAAATTTCAAAACCAGCACCTTCTCTATACACACGAAAAGCATCACATCAACATTCACTATTCTTTCCAATCCACTTTCTCATTCATGAATAGGTAGGTAACCTCTAGAAGGTACAAGATATCCACCTACAGCCCCCATTATATCCTCCAAAGAATTCTACCAACCCATCTAGTTACCTACCTATCTAATTCCCCTATTCCCCTACCTGTCTAATTCATACACACATATATATATACATACATCCATAAGATCTTTCCCACCATTCAGACAATTCAAGTTAGGTGCCGAACAGGCAGTAAATGTGTTTCATGCCGGAGAGTTCCTACCTAGTACTCGAGTATATCATATGATCATATAGATAGATATATTGTGATCTATCCCTTCCCCTATCCTATTCTATCTTCTTCACTGTCCCCTCCACCCTTCCCTTCTTCTTCTTCCTCCTCTCTCCTCCTCTCTCCTCCTTTCCCTATCTTCCTCTCAGCTCACCACCAGACAAAATCACAACCTCCCCACTTCTACTTTCCAACCCCCATCTTGCATTCTCCATTCTCCACTCCCCACCTCTCATCCATAATCCACTTCGAACTCCACTCCACCACCAAGTAAGTCTAGATCATTCGAATAGAGCTATCCATACATCTAGACATCCAAACGTCTTGATATACATAATTGTCAAGTACACACTGACACCTTCAGCATATCGTAGATTGGATTGTGGTGCTTCCGTCT